ACATGCTTCTCCTAGCTTCAGATGTCTAAAGGCCAGTTTGGCATTGTTGTGCTATGAAAATAATTGTTGTCAGATTTTCTGTGAGAGAAATCAGTTGTGAAAAAAAACAGTTCTGCGTTTGGTAAACTTTTTATTAAAAGTGTTGTTGGTACTGATTCCCGCATAATCAGAAAATGATTGCCACATAATCATTAAACCCAGCTCATCTTCAAAACTGATTCCTGCATAATCAGAAAATGAAAGCACCTCATTAGCTGCTTTCCCTTATAGCTTTCTCTCACAACAATTTTTAACAATAAGTGATTTTCTCATAGTTTACCAAACGGGCTAGGCTTCCCAATTTTTTTTTAAAATCACTTATCACCCCAAATAAGCAATGCCAAACGGGCACTAATAGTCAGCATGATAAGTTGCCCCACTCTATTGATACATTATTATTATTATTATCATTTTTTATTTAATATTAATATTATTTTTGGAAAATACTATTATTATTGTTTCCTTTCTTTTTCTTTTTCTTTTATTATTATTTTGAAGGAAATTGATTTTTCCTTTTTTTCATTCCCCCTCTCATAATATCGCTTTACATATAAAATAAAAAAGACATTTTGCTTATTTACATCCATATATAATGGCTTTATTTTGAACCAATAGATTTTTGTGCCTTCCAAACCGAAGGCGAGGAGATAAATTGTATTTCCACTTCAACTCCAAATGCTCACTTCCTTGCGCTTCTTCGAACTTCGAAGTGACCAAAACCCAATAAGAAAGTAAAAGGAAAAATGCATAAAATATTTAAGATAAAGAAACCAAGGTCATTTGATGTGAACGGGGACGGCCATAGCTGAAGAAGTAAGGAAAGGCTCAAAACTTTTCACAGCTCAATATCCCAGCTCATTTCACCTAGAGTCTCAAACTGTAAGAATAAACTTCTTTTTCTTTTACTTTCTTTCTGGGTTCTCTGCAATTTAATCTTTCTCAAATATTACTTTGTCAATCGCAATAGATGCAACAAACCCATTTATGTTTTATATTTTCCGATAAAGAATTTGTGGACTTGCGAGATAAAGCCTGGTTCAGAGCCACCATTGTCACAAGTCCCACAAACTCAGCCTCAAAGCAGAGGAAAAGGGCCTTGGTGGAGTACAAGAGCTTGGTCACCGAAGACGGCTCGCGGCAGCTCAAAGAGTACGTTAATTCGGCTTACTTGAGGCCTGTACCGCCTCCATTGGGTGACCAAAACTCCAAAACTTTGAGGAGGGTGATGTGGTCGATGCGGATTATAAGATGGATGGTGGACTGGAGTTGTAAGAAAGGTTCTTGACAACAATTCCAAGTACAGAGTGGTGTTTGAAAACTCTCCAGATTTGATTGAATTTGAGAGAGAGCGTTTCAGAGCATCAAGATTGGGATGCTGGCAAATGGGTTCGGCCCAATAAGCAGGTATGCTATCTTGGGCGTGACCTGGTTTTTTTTTTCTTTTCTTTTCATGCGGTTAATTAGTCTCTTAATCATGAGTATTCATTACCGTGAAGTCTGAACATGGTAATTTTTTCTCTGCAAATAGAGCTACAGATGAATCAGATACTGCATTTTGTTACTGAAATGGAAATGCAAAATAATTCAGCAAACACGTTTAACCCTAAATATTCACTCTCAATTACAAATTGAACTGAAATCAGTCAATTGCCTCAATACTAGACAGTCAGTGAGAGAGTTTCAAATTCGAAACCTTATTCAGTTTGAACACCAAAAATCATTTTCTCGTCATAGTAATGAACCAGGCGCCTTTTTGTTTCCCATTTTACATGTGAATTGTGCGTTTTCTTTGTGTGTTTCAGTTTGGTGCTTCCATTAACAAAACCCAGAAGTTTTGATTTTCCAGAAATTATTCGAATCCCTGGCTGAAATTAGTGGGTAAAATCTGTTCAGTTTCATTGATGTTTAATTTCCAAGTTATGAAATGTTTACTGATAAAAAAATAAGTCCACATGTGAATGAACAAAAGAAAGAAAAACTGCCAGTAAAAATGGCTGCTGAAGTACTGAAAGTTACTTTAGATGTCGTGTCAATGAAATTGGGCTACAAATTTTGATTGTGAGAGTTTTTGTAACTGTGGGGTAATGTGTTTAACATTTCTAGAACTGTGATGTTGGCTATAATTCTTTACCCCACAACATTCATATATCTGGTCAGTATAGGCAAAA